CAGGAATCACCTGGGGAAGGAGGAAGCAAATGTTCCCAGGAACTCTGAGCATCTTTACACCCACAGTGATGAGCACACAGGACCCAGATTATTCTGACAAAATAGGTGCTCCTCCCGTTAACCCTGTCTAAAAGGAACATTTTCTTGTCGGTGCATGATTGTCTGCTTCAGACTCCCAATGGGAGGGTGTAGAACCATTGCCAGGGTGAGGGAAACTTCCAGAAGCCATTGGTGTAGCACCAGCGGGTTGAGATCTTCTTAACACATTTCACTTGTGATCTTTTAAAGCTGTCAGACCAGAATGATTTTCAGTCACTTTGCTCTGGAGTGGATTTAAAATCATGTCCCAAAGGTGGAAGATTAATAGATTAAAAAGGCAAAGTATTAACCTAGCCCATCGTCCTGTCTCCTTACCCATAAGATACAGTATCACTGTCATGCGACTGTGGCAGGTCTTCAATGAGGCGTCAGCGGGCCTAGAGCTGGCTTCCCAGCGAAGCGCCCACTGACTGAGACCCAACTGCTCCCTGTGTGGCTGGATGTGGGGAAGAGGAGGCAGGGCCACCATCTACAACACAAGGAATATTTGCAATTTTCTTGAGAGAATTAAGTATTTTTCTTCATTGTTTAATGTTGTTTCCCAGGGAAGGATGAGGGCAATGCTAAAGGTATCATTCTCTTCAACATTTTGCTGCAAAGGATGTGTGGGTAGGAATGAGAATTTAGATCAACAGCCATGAGAAACCCTGCCAGCTAACGGGGGTTTTTGAATTGAATTTTCAGAACTGCTGCTGTGTTCAGGGAGGCTGAGGTTCTTCCTCCTACATTTTGTAGCTTCGTGGTCAATTTGTGAGAAAAGAGCAGCTTTAATTCCTCCTTCAGACAAGGCAAAACTCTTCTCATCTGAGAACTCAAGTGTCACTGAGTGCCGGCCGGTGTCAGGATGAAAGTGTGGCCCTGTGCCCCCTGCATCCCTCTGGGCGCTCACTCCACATGGCCCCTGTCCAGGCAACTGTGTGAGTCTCCACTGACAAGCGGCTGCAGGGCACAGCCTCCACCCTTCCTCTCTCCTTCCCTGGCACACAGTGGGCACTCAATAATTGCTCCATGCATGGGGGCATGTTTGGGTGAATCCACACTCTACTTAGAGTCTGTACACGCATCCTGGAGCCATCTTATATACCCTAAGAAATGCTTTGTGATTCACTCACACACATGGATTGTGCTGGAATATTTTCTTCTGTGCTTTTCAGAAATCTTATAAGACTTTGTACTTTAGACACCACCTTGAGATCTGACTTCCCCTTAGGAGGGGAGCGACTGCAGAGAGCCAGACAGACCCTCACAGCCAATACTTCCTTTATACTTGTAACAAGCGCTGGCCAAGCAACGCTCACGTGGAATTTTGAATGCTGATGGAACGGGCTCAGCTCAAAGGTGTGTTTTTTCTTCTGAAATGTCAGAAACAAAAAAATTCTTCCAGAAGCCCCTCAACGATCTTGCCCTCTAAATCACTAGGATGTCTGAAGTCTAGTGTCACAGGAACCATATTTTCTATGGCATTCTTTCAGAGTACGTTCCTGGAAAAGTACTTTGGGGCCAGAATCTGAAAGTCTTAGGAATTATTATTATTTTCATTTCGCCATGAGGCAATGGGGCAGAACGGCGTTGGGGGCCACGTGCCAAGTGTGGTCTCTGCCGCGGCTCCAGCCTGTCTTGTCTGGAAAGACCCCCGGCTGCAAGGGCCTGGGGGGCTGGGCTTCACTTGCATTGGGGCTCCATTCTTTCTGAGGTCAGGCTCCAGGGAGACTGGGGAGAGGTTGCCACTCTGCCTTCCCTGGGCCCTGTGTGCGTCACACATAAACTCCCATAGCACAAGTTAGGAGGGCGTCCAGCAGCGTGGCCAACTTAGTCCTGCTCTTTGTTGTGAGGCCAGCCTGGCTCCTTGAGTCTCAGGGACAAGAGGAGACCAGTGAGGGTGCTGGTCTAAGGAGCTGGATTCTCCTCCTATGAGACAGGCTGCCCTGGTCTAGGTCCTGAGGAGGTGGGGCAGTTGTCAGGTACTTGGGGCCACCTCACATGGTGACAGAAAGAGAAGGTGCAGACGATCATTTCTCAGGACATGGTCTGGTGGAGAAGGCCCTCAGCAAACGTTAGCTGATGTGGTTGTGATCATTTGGAAGGTGGGTGAACACCTTAGAGGTATAAATGGGTGGAATGTGTGCATGTGTGTAATCGTATGGTAGGCACACACTGCTTATGCATGTTGCCAATAGAAAAGACTCTCATCTTCCTTGTTTAATGCCCATGAGATCAAAGTGTATGTAAAACCTGCTTTCCTTTCTCTCAAAAGTATGTTGTTAAGATCTAGTCATCTTATAGTTGGAGCTGGGCATTTTCCATTAACATGTGCATAAATTTCATCACTGCACATACCTGGGTGTCAGTTTTCCTGACATGGGTGAGCTCCAGGAGCAGGGCCTCACCTGTCTCCTCACTGCTCCTTCTCATGTCCAGGGCAGGAGCTGGTGCCACTGAAGCCCATCCAAGTGAATGAATGAATGGCCAAGTGAATGGAGGAGTGAGTGAATGAATGAGTGAATGAATGATTGAATGGATGAGTGAGTGAGTGGGGAACTATTGCCCAGAGTCAAACACAGACACCCTGTGTTTTTTCTCTCAAGGAGCTGGTGGGCTGAGAAAAGAGTGTTATTCCAGGGGCTGGCGTACATGCAGGTGCCGTGCTGCGGACAGGAGAAAGGATTGCTTGGGTCTGCCAGGCATGGGGAGGCAAGGAAGACTTCATGGTGGAGGGAATGAAAAAAGAATCCCGTTTTTTGCCTCAAGCATGTGTTGCAGAGGCTTTGTGGTGTGAATGTGGTAGTGTCCCTACCAGGCACCTCTCTGAGCGGGGAGGGCAGGATGAGCTCCTGAAGGAAAGTCAGGAGGAGGACTACCTCTTGGCATCTGGGCAGGGCTGGCATGGGAGGCAGGTTTAACTAACGAGGGGAGGACAGACTTCCCTCCAGTGCTGTCACAGGCACGGTTCCCAGCTCATGCTGATTGAAAACCATCACAGCCCGGGAGTGTACTCCGATGGGGTGAGGATGAAGGGGGGAAGGCGGGAGAGATAAGGAGCATTGAATGTGAAAGCTGGAAATGGGTCCAATTTAGAGCTGTGGGTTTTCAACCTGCCCACTCACTGCTGGGCTGTCGCTGGATCGGCTTCCACCTCTGTAGGGCCAGACGCATCAAGTCATTACTAAGAAAGGTTTTATTCCAGCTAAAATGCAGGTATGGCAGGCTCATGTGTCCCCATTGATTCTGACTTTGTACCTGGATATGTGGAGCTGAGGGGACCACGTGGCTGGGAGATAAGGGGAAGCAAGAATACCAGCAGTCCTGGAAGGTTTGATCTGGGTCAGCACAGGCCTGGGCCAGGATGGGGAGCAGACCGGGACGCCTTCCCAGGGTGCCCTGTGGAGATGGGTTGGGGGCTCCTTGTCTTTATGTGGAACCCTGGCCAGGTGCCAACCATGGGTTTCTCTGTGGGGGTGCACATGCTCCTGACCCTACGACGTGAAGTGCACAGCAGCACCCTCTTGGTGAGCCTGCTACGTGCCTTTTGGAGGGTGTTGGGGTCTCTGTATGTGTGGTCGCGGTGCTGGGCCCCTTACTCTCTGTGCATCCTGTCCTGCCACTTCCCAGTCAGTCCCCTGCCTTCATCTCAGGAGAGCTGTCTTGTGTGTCAGGACATGAATAGAACACAAAACAAACGGGTCAACGAAGAACAGGCTTGTGCAGGGGCGACTCTGAAAACAAATTCCTGACCCAAGTTGAAGGAGAAACTCCCGTGTGGTGGGAACCCCAGCTGCCCTAACAGACCCAACCTCAGACCCTGGATGGGCCACAGGTGTGGTGGGCAGAGGGCAGGCAGCACCAGCTGTCCTGGGGATGGCCTTCCCCCCATGGAAGCAACTTCGAACTGACCACGCCCCTTTCAGTGTCTTGCTTAGTCTCCTCGGAGGCCTCGAATTTCCATCCACGCCTCTCCCTCTCTCTGCTCTATTTTCCTAAGAAGTTTGCTCCCAAATTTTCCCTGATTCCCTCATTGTGGGTGAGAAAGATGAGGTCAGCTCAAACCCAGGACAGCTTGGAGCCACAGCGTGGAGGGAGACAGTGAGGAGCTCCCGCCTTTGTCCCTGCTCTCTGCATCCTCACTGAACCCATCCTGATGGCTCAGTGACCTTTCCTGGGTACCCCAGAGAGGCACAAGGGCCCAGCCACTTCCCCCACAGATAGACTCACTGCCCAGAGTGCCTGCTTTGATGTCTTTCTTCTTCACCCACAGCCCTTGCGGATGGAGACAGTTCAGCATTACTGCAATCTCGCCCTCGGTTCTCATGTCACCTTCTCCTCTGTGCCTTCTCCTTTTACTTGTCTTACCAGGACACCCACCACTAGATGTAGGGCCCACTCTAATTCCGGAAGGTCTCATATGGAGAACCCTACCGTATTTACATCTGAGAAGTCCCTTATTGTGAATCAGGTCACTGCCCTCTCAAATTCACCTGTTGAAATCCTAACGCCCAAGGTGATGGTGTAGGGAGGTGGGCCTCTGGGAGGTGACTAGATCATGAGGGTGGAGCTGCCAGGATGGGCTAGTGCCCTTATAGGAGAGACCCTAGGGAACTCCCTCTCCCCTCCCGCCAGGTGAGGACAGCAGGAAGGAAGCTGTGTGTGCCTGGAAGAGGGACTCTGTCACACCCAGTCACCCTGGCAGTATCTTGAACACCCAGCCTCCAGAGCTGTGAGCCATACATTTCTGCTGTTTATAGGCCCACCAGTTGGTGGCAATTTGTTATGGCAGCTGAAATAGACTAAGCAGTTACCTTTTGAGGTTCCAGGCGAATGCCTCTTTTGGAGGGACACTTTGTGACCCCCTATGGTGAGGTTGCCCTAAATGGTGACTTACTGAACTATCAGAACGCTGTGACCTCAGCAGCTCTTGTTTTTCTTCTTGTATGTTTATCTTGTCAATTTGTTAAGTATTTCATAATAAACCAATCAACACACTTTCTATGGCAAGGGCAGAAATTTAAGTCAGCTATTTAAAACTCCATGTCAAAGGGATTTTGTAAAAAAATATTTCTTGCGTGCATATTTTCTTCAATTTTTTCCTTTGGGCTTTATTTTTCATTCTGTCTTGGGAATTTGAGACTATCTGAAAATCCTTTGAGATAATGGATGCATTTTAGATCAGGAGCCGCTGCTCTGAAAAATTATCGTCCCCACCAGAATAAAGCTTTCTTGCGTGAAAAAAAACTGGCCCAGCTTCATTCCAGATATCTCCAGAGTGCTGGTTTTTGACCTCAGTCTTTCTGTGTTTTGGTTTCCTCTCATTTAAAGTGGGAATTAATAAAAACGGAATCTCTCTGTTCACCGTAATGATGTCAGGGGCTCTGGGTGAATGCAGCATTAGTGCATGAGGGCTAGCATTCCCCCGGGGGAGATTGACACAAAGGCCATATGAGAAACAGGCTGAGCTGCAAGGGTGCCAGCTGCGCACGGTTACTGTCAGGTGGGTAAACCTTGGCTCCACCTGGGAGCGTAGGAGAAGCTGCTCTTGCTGGACCCAGGATGACTCAGGCTAAGCTCTTGGCTCTGCCCCCAGGGCAGCCCCTCACTCCCCTGCTCTGTTGCCTAACTAGCTCCATTATTACATGGCAAGCCGCTGGAGCACATTTAGTTCCCTTGTGAGTACTTTTAAGGAAAAGCTCAGATTTGCCAAGAACATCCAGGACTCTGGGTGCCTTTTGTTTGAAGACTTTGGAAAATTAGATTGCATGCCTTGCTCCATAATTTCTACTTCAGAAGATAAGGCTGATCTGGGGAAATGTAATTTTGACTAATTTATTGGCAATAGTTAGACTCTTCTCCCTGTGACACATCTGCAGATCATTTCCCCCCACGAATTGTTTTGGGGTTTCCTAGTTATCAAAGCCCCGACACATCTGCCGGCCGCATGAGCGTAGAGCACATGCCTGCCCCAGGCCCGCTGGCCCGGCACCTTGTGTCCACCCCCTGATGTGACGGGGACATTTCACACGCAGCAGGGGAGCTGAGAAGCCTGCCCTTCTTATCTTTCTATGGTATTTGTCACTGTGATGGGATCAGTGGTGAGAAACTGGAGGTCACAATTTGGAGTTAATATCAGGCAGTTCTTCGGAAAGCACCAGTTTCAAGGTCAACTTGGTTGATCTCATTTAGCCAAACTCAGCCCAAGGAGTGGTGTTGTCCGAGGCTGCACCTGGAACTTCCCCTCGCACCAGCTTCTGGCTATTACCCACGTGCCCGGTAGTTCCAAGGATACGTCACTCCTTACCTCGCCTGCTAATGAGTCTGAGATTGCAGTTGCTGTGCCTGCCCAAACCCAGGGAGGCATCTGATGGATAAATAACAGAGTAACCAAAACAAGGCTTTTGGTTCCAGTATTCTTGCAAGAAACAAAGAAAGCATGAAAGAAAAAAAAGCAGTTCTCACGACACAAAAAGCAAACAAATAAAAAAAAATGGTGAAAAGCCCCACCTAAGCAGTTACCCACCTGAGAGCAAAAGTTCAGGCCATGTCTGTGGTCCAGGCTGCTTGTGGCAGCTGCCCCAGGCCTAGTGCCCAGGGCTCCCAGGAGGTGGACATCCGCAGCTGCCCTGGGTGGACAGGCAGGTGAGGACATCTCCACAAGGCCACGGTCCTCTTAGAGTCTAAGAGGTCGGAAAACTCATTAGTCAACAGAAACTATATAGGTAGGCACGCTGTTATTAACTTAATTAGGGTACTCCTAAGGCTTAGGAAGAGCCACACTCAAGGGGCCAGAGAGCCGCATGTGGCTCGCGAGCCGCAGTTTGCCGACCACCGTACTTAGACCATTGTGGTTCGATCAGGAATTCATTCCCACCTGGACACCCGGAAACTGGCCAGCTGTGGCCATGATGAGTCCGTGGGGCATGAGGTCAAGATGCTCAGTGTCGAATGTCCACATGTGCCCCCACATCACAGCTCAGTCTGTCCCTGAAGGAAGGACAAGGCAGAACGGGGAGTGGGGGTGAGGGTAGGGAGCTGT